GAGTTACAGAAGCAAGTATACTTCGAGCAGCTGCAGAAATTGGAGCAATTTATGTGAATAAAAAAGTTTGTTTTTGAATTTTTTTTGTTCAATTGAAAATAATTTTAAAGTTTTTTTTTTTTTTTTTTTGTTTAATCTAAAGTGGCCAAAGAATCTCAAACAAGAACCAGTTTTTATCAATGCTCAAATGGGTGATAAATATGATATGGTAAAATTTAGTCAAAAATAGCTTGTTTTTTTTTTGTTTATATTGATAATTATTTTCTTTTTAGCTTCGTCGTTATGTTGCTGAACTTCTTGAAAAATGCGATAGTTTTCAATTTACAGAATTACGTTCACGTATTAAACAAGAAAATCAAACACAGCAATTTCCTGTACATGAAGTGAAAAAATTTGTTAAAGTACGATAAATAATTTACATCGAGTTGAAGATCACTTCTATTTTCTATGTAAAGAATTCAATAGATCATAATACATCAAAAATTCCAGTCTAAACTAAATTTTGTAATACAGCGCTCGATAGATAAATGTGTCTATGAGATAGAACCCGTCAAGTTGATACCGGATCTCACATTTTTGGATCCAAAATCTGTTCCTAAGACACCATAATCCTTTCTCAGACAATCTTGACGACGTTTTTTAGAATAGTTGAGTCATAATAGGCTGTTACTTCTAGAGTATGGCCAGTTGGTTCAGCCTCGATTGACTCTACTTATTACATCTGTGTAATGAGCTACATGAATTTTTGTGATAAATTCAAAAACTTTTCTTTTCCAAAATGCGAACTTCTAAGTTGATGTAAATCGTCAAAGAATCTATGTTCATAGGAAACTAGTTGTTTTATAAACAATAAATTATACAAACCTCAGTTCACCTTTAGCTGCACTGATACCTAATCTGATAACTTCCATTATCGAAAAAAAAAGCATCATTAAACTATTCATTTGACAATACTTCAATAAAAATCTTATCATTCGAATAAAGTACAATAATATTAATTTCTCTTTTGTTTTAGGATCATTGTATAACTCGTTCTTCACGTAAAGGTGTACTTTATTGTGTCAAAGGCACATTGGTCAAGTAATGCAATCTCTTTTTTTTTCTTCTCTTCTTTTCTTTTCCTTATATAAAATATATATAATCATGACGGTCTTAATTCTAACTGTACAACACGTTCTTAGTGTTTCTGTTATTAATTATTTCATTCTATGTAAATCTGGATATATTTTCTATTGAAAAGAAACAAAATAAATTGATAAATGCAGCGCCGTTGCAGCACCTATCAAAAACAAAAAAGAAAGAATTAATTTCTTCTGTCAGATGATGTTTTATTTATTTTGTTTTTCTGTGCTTCTCAAACTTCATCATTCACCTGAGTAAGCCACATCGCGCACGATTTCTCGCTGATATAAACGCACAGACGCACACAAAAATATGCACGACTAAAATACAACAACAATAAATAGGATTTTCTGTGTTCAAGTTGAAAAAAAAACAGACAAAAATCTATGCACTGGCGCTAAATATAGCGCTAAGTCTAAAGGACAAAAAAAAAAGAAGAAGAACGGTATGCAAGAAAAAAAGAAGAAAGAAAAGAACAAATGAACGAAGTAACAAACAACAACGATGAAACAAAGAAAAAAAACTACAAGAATAATCAACCGGCAATATCCGTCATGTGTACATATACATATATACCAGTTTTTGTTATTGCCAGAAAAAAAAAGACCTTAGACCATACTCTCACTAAAAGATTTACAAAAGAAAGAGCAGATCTATACAAAAAAAAAGCGAAGACAGAAAAGTTCATTGTTAAAAAATGTCTCTTTGTTTTTTTTTTTCTTCATATATGAGAAACAATCACTGCAATAGAACAACAAATAAAAAAAGACAAAGAGAAAGAAATCAATTTCGATAATGATATCCATTATTATTTTGTCGATAATAAAAATCATCATTTCTCTGTTGTTGTCGATAATTATTATGATTTGATCGTCTATAATTACCACGATACTTTTGACGTTGATTTCTATCATTACCAAATGTATCTTGATTTCTTACATGATTATACATAGGTGCTGATACATTAGATGCATCTTCAAGAGCAATATTATCAAAAAATGATTTCTTTTTATCATATATTGGTTCATAATCACTCGTTAAATCGGAATTTTGTTTTGAATGAAATAATTGATTTGATGATTCTGATTGTTCTTTAAATTCATCTTCACTTATTAATTTATTAAATTTACGATTATTTGTTTCAAAATCAAAATCATCATCATAAATATTACCATTATCATGAAATGTTTCACGATTATAACCCTCACCTGGACGTCGTTGTTGATTATTCATATGTATACGACGATTATTATGAAAATATCTTTGTTGATTTTGTATATTACCATTTTGATAACGATTCTGTTGTGGTTGTTGAGAATAAGTTCGATCATTTGAAAAAAAATGGTTGACGAACAGGTAGTCCACTATTATCATCTTCTTGTTCATTATAATGACTATTTTGACGACGTGATGTTTGAGTTGAATGAGTATTTAATGGCCATTGATGCTGAGAACGATTTGATTGTAATTGATCATTAGTATTTAATGAAAAAGCATCGAAAAATTTGCTTTTATTGCCTGATTGTTGTTGTTGTTGTTGTTGTTGAGAAGAAGATTTATTATTTTCCCATTTTGATGGAGATAACAATGACCATGATGTACCAAGTTCACCAGAATCACTACGACGACGAGATTCTATAATAAAAAAACAATATCTTAAAATTCAATTGATTAACTAAATGTTAACTTAGGCACATGTATCGAATTCAGCAGTTCGACTCCGAACTGATATGGGAAAAAACAATTTGACACTATAGACGTATCCTTATTTCGTTCTTTCACTTCTCATTGTGACTAGATCGGACGGTAACCAGTACCAATTTCACTTCTGATTAGTAGTGTATTGCAAGAAGTCTTAGAAGTAAAAAAGTTACCCTTTTCGTACCGCATTCGGTGTATATTCTTTTTTAGTTGTGCAGAAGTTCACTAGTAGACAAATGGCATTCGATAGTTAGAGAAGTTTCTTATATGAATTTAGCAATACTCAAGATCTGAATAATATAAATTGACATACGATGTTAAATTAAAATGATTTTTTATATATAACAGATAGCACAGATTACGCAAAACAATATCATTTTTTACTCTACAAAACTGTTGACTTTGTTTTTTGAAATTTCTTAGCAAAACTTAAAATATGAACACTTATTCGTTCAACTATGATGATAAAAAAAATGGAAAAATGATACCAATTTCTTTTTCAACAACGATTTTCTGAGATCGGTTTTTAATCGAGACTATATTCATGTAAGAGACAATGATGAGCTGAGCCTTTATTCTTGAGTCTTTTCTGCTAAAACTTTCAGGATATTTTATCCGACCTGTTTATGGGTACAACCCTTTTTAAGATTTTTCTAGTCATACTGGAATCTTCCTCTGAACTCAAATGGTAGATATTAACTCGGGTAGTTTTCACATCAGATAGTTGACCCTTCTTAGGTTTTTATACTGCTCACCTGAATATAGTCTCGATCAGATACTTGGGAATATTCGCTTGTAAATCTCGCTTTGGAAGGTTTGTAGAAATGAAGAATACGAAATTCTCTATCGAATGAGTTAAACAAAGAAAATGATATAGTCTCGTTTAATCTATACCAACCGTTAGTATAAAAATCATATGCATTTATGATGTTATAATTTAATTCCGCAGACAAGAAAAAAGCAATCTTGTCAATTATTATCTAGGGTCCTGGTTATTTTTAGAATAGCAGAAATCTATTAATAAATAAATGATCTAATAATATATGTTTTTTTCTATTAGTTTTTGGTTGAAAAGAACCAGATGAAATTATTTTATTTTATAGAATATTAATTTCTTTTTATAACTATGATATTGATGTAAATTGAAAAGATGTTTTTCTGTCAATTTTCTTTTTACCTTCAGTTTTTGATTGTTCATCAGATAAATTTAACTGATGAAGACTCTGTATTAATCGATTTGACATTGATAAATCCTTATTCGATGTACTAATAACTGCTGATACAATAGCTGGATCATCATGTATTGATGGTTGTTTTTGAAGTGGTGGTGGTGCTCGTACTGGTGGTGATGATAAAATAGGCATAGAATATGATGAATGTTGTTGTTGTTGTGATTGATTTTCAATCATTTTTTCATCCTCAACAATTTTTAAATCTTCAATATCACTATTAGCAAATTGCATTATAGGTACAATTGTACCAGCCATTTGATTATTAGAAAAATTTCCTCCACGATTTTCTGTACCAAAACATTGAACATTTCCAAGAAGTATTGATGATGCTTGAGCATCGATGCCTTTATGAAAGAGAAAAAAAAGGAGGATTTTATTATGTTTTTTTTTTGTTTTTGATTTCTATAAATAAAAATTTCATTTACCAATAATTGTTCCCACATATCGACATTGAGATTTGGTAATAATCGCGATTTTACTACCGATAAAACTACTCGACATTATAAGTAATAAATATATATAGTTAAAGGTTAATACGAAATAAAGAGAAGAAAAAAACACAAGTTAACAATATGTTTCTTCGACTTGTTTATTATTTTATCGTTGGATCTTTGTTTAATGCTTAACTTTGTATGTCTGACATCTATTGAAAAGATAAATATTAATTTGAAAAAGAATTTTTCTTTTGTATTTATTAAATATTTAAATAATTTTTCTTATATTTAATTGTTTCTTTATATGATTAATCTTTACATATGATTCGTCATCGATGTAAAGTATGGATTTTGTCTCATAGGAAAAGGAAAAATATGCAGCTATAATTACTGTTTATAACCTTGTTAAACCATTTATTGTTCGAAACATAGGATTAGATGAATTAGATAAAACACAATAATAATCCTTGTCCTATTTTAGATAATTGTGATATTCATAAAAATAGTTTCAATGGATAAAAACGTTAATAGTGAATTTGTTGATGAATCTTCTCAAATATTTCCTCTTACTATTATTCTATCATTTCTTGTTGTATTTGTAACAATAGTTATTTTATGGTGGGCTAAAAATCGTCATAAATCATTTCGTCGTGGTGAATGTTTACTTTTATGTGGAACATCAAATTCTGGTAAAACATTACTTTTTTGTCGTCTTACTATGGGTTTAGCTAAACGAACATTAACATCAATGGCAATTAATAAAGGTTCAATGATTCTTGAAACTTCATCAACTGATCGTCCAACAAAAAAAATTCATGTTATTGATATACCTGGTAATTTACGTATACGTCAACGTGATTTTAATACGAATAAAAATTCAGCTAAAGCAATTATATTTGTTATTGATAGTACAACAATAAAAGAAGAAAGTAAAGATGTATCGGATTATCTTTATGATATTTTACATGAAAAAACATTTCGTCAACAACGTTTACCATTATTAATACTTTGTAATAAACAAGATATAAATAATGATAATATAACAATTCAAACAATACGTAATTTACTTGAAAATGAATTAACAATGAAACGTAAAACACGTGCATCATCTGTTGATGTACATCAAGGAAAAACAGAATTAATTAATGATATTGGTCAATTAGGAAAGGAAACATTTGAATTTAGTGATGTAAAAGATATTAAAGTTGAATTTGTTGATGGTTCAGCATTAGGTACAGAAAAAAAATCATTTGCTGATCATTATGATGATGATGATGCTAATAATGAAAAGGATATTGATAGTGGTGGTGATGAAACTGATGCAGACAGCGGAGCAAATTTAAATAAAGTCTATGATTGGATTGAGAAGATCTGGATTAAATAAAGAACATTTCTCTTCTTCTTATTATTATTTTTATTGTTTTTTTCTTTTTGCTTTAATCTATTCATCGAAACAAAAAAAGGAAATAAAGACGAAACATTTTATTATATTCTAGATGACTAGATTTGCAAAACATAAGAAACAGAAAAAAAAATCTATTGGTGAAGATGCAACACCATGGGAAAAATTAAAAGAACCTCTAAATGAAAAAGAGCAACGTAAAGAAGAAAAACGTTTAGAAAAAAAACGTAAACGTCAATTAAAAAAGGTTTATATAAAAAAAAAGATTTGTATCACAAGAAAAATGAAAATTTTTAGATTTGTTTTCGATGTCGAACTCCAGGACATTCAATGAATGAATGTACAACTGAAATATCTAATGAAGAAAAAAAGAAAAGTGAAATAAAAACTGGTATTTGTTATAAATGTGGGTCAACTGAGCATCGAGTACAACAATGTACAATGAAAGGTGACTCATTTGTTTATGCAACTTGTTTTATTTGTGGTAAACAAGGTCATTGGTCACGTTTATGTCCTGATAATCCAAATGGTTTATATCCAAATGGTGGATGTTGTAATGAATGTGGTTCTATAAAACATTTTAAAAGAGATTGTCCAACATTATTAAAAAAACAAGGTAACTCAATTTCACATCAAAATTTGGCAGTACGAGTTTTCCAAAAACTTGGGACTTCTAGAAAAAAAATTCTATAACTTACAAGGAAACTATCCGAAATGATTCACCGCTTTTGAGCTCAT